CTATTCTCCATGTTCTAAAGTTCTTTACTAATTTATTGTCTATTAGTAGTATTAAAAAATCTTGAATTGTTTAGTGACTTTTTATTTATACTCATTGTATCTTTTAGGAACTGGAATTAGGGAAAACATTTGGCACTGGTAGAGCATACAGTGATATGTATCTCATGGATGCTGAAGCTTCTTCTCATTCTACCTATCAATCTCTTGACGTAGATGGTGTTTCGGACCTTCAGTTCTTACATCAATAACATAGACATTTGGGGCATCCCTCATTTGGTGTCTTAGAACACTTTTTTCTTAGTCTATTGAAGTAGTGTAGTAGACAATGTTTTGTTTGAGATATTTGTGAATTTTGTCAAACATGTTCTTATCTTAGTACTAATAATAGAAGTACTGCTCCTTTTGTTATTATTTTATTCTGATGTGTCCCTTTCTTTTGTTGTCCATCTGTAGTTATTTTTGGTTTGTCCCGTTTATTAATTGTTATTCTCGTTGGTTTACCTACTACGTACTAAAAGTGAAGTTTTTTTGTGCTTTAGATCTTTTCATAAAATGGTGAGTGTCAAATTTAATACTAAAATTAAAACTCTTTGAAGTGGTATTGGAATCGAGTATATTGATAGGGAATTTGGTTCTTGCTTCAATGAGACTAACATTCTGTATCAAACCGCTTGTGTGAGTGCCCCAAAACAAATTAGAATTGTTGAGTAGAAAAATCATTATCTTTTTGAGGTTGCTTATTCATTGATGTTTACTATGAATGTTCCTCAGTATTTTTGGGAGATATAGTTCTTACTATTGCTTATCTTATTAGTCGTCTACATTCGAGTGTTCTTTAGTTTAGGTCACCTATTGAGTGTCTTTATGAGTCTTCTTCAGTTCCTTATATTTCTTCCCTTTCTTAAAGTTTTTTAGTATATTTGTTTTGTATATGATTATAGACCCTCTAGGAGAAAACTTGACCCTAGGGCTCGGTGATGTGTCTTTGTTGGTTATTCTCCCACTCAAAAGGGATATAATTGCTATTATCCACGGTCTCATAAAATGTATGTTAGCATGGATGTTATCTTTTGTGAATTTGGATCCTCCACTACTCCCCCTAAACATCTCTTCAGGAACACCACTATAAAGGAATAGATGTTTTGTTAGGAGCTTCTTCAATTGCTTATTCGGTGGAAAGTAAGTGAGGGAGAGCAACAGTTTATGGAGCAAAAAAAAAATAATAGTGGTTCGCATGGCGTTTACCTTGACAAGAATAATTTGCAGATTTATTCTCGGCGAAAAAAAATATAGAGTACCCATGTGTTGTTGAATTCCCCAACTCCGGTTTCATCCTCCACTGATTTATCAGGTAATGAACCACCAGGTGTTATTGATAATCCACTTGTTGATGGCATTGAGCTTCTTATTGTGGTCAGAAAAGGTGTTCGAGCTTGTACTCAACATCCGATCTCTAATTTTGACTCTTATGATTCTTTATCTCCACCCTATTGTACTTTTGTTTCCTGCTTGTCTTCTTTGTTTATCCTCTTGGATGGAAAGAGACTCTCAATAATCCTAAGTGGAGAAAAGTTATGCTAGAGGAAATAAAGTCTTGGAAAAGAATGATACATGGGAGTTGGTTTCTATTCCTCTTGGAGCACACATAGTAGAGGGTAAATGGGTGTTTATTGTTAAACAACAAGCTGTTGGAATTGTCGAGAGGTACAAAGTTAGGTTGGTTTCTAAGGGATTTACTTTAATATATGATATTGATTATCAAGAGACTTTTGCTCGCGTGGCAAAGATGAACTCCATACTAGTTTCATTAGACATGTTGATGACAAGATTACATCTTCATTGTATATGGGGATGACATGTGATAACTGGCAATGGTGAGCATGAAATCACCAAATTGAAGGCTTAGTTGATTAAGGAGTTTCAAAGACTTGAGTCCATTGAGGTATTTTCTTGGGATTGAGATTTTTATGTTAGATAAAGATATTTTTATCTCCTAGAGAAAGTATGTTTCACCTTCTTGAAGTGACAGAGATGTTGGTATGTAAACCTATTGATTCTCAAATAGAAGTCAACTATCGATTGAATGGTGGTATTGGTGTGCTAGTAGAAAAGAAGAGATACTAGAGGTTGGCAGGGAGACTAGTATATCTCTCATATAGCCGGATATTGCTTATGTAGGGGTTGTTGTCAATCAACTCATGCTTGATCCTGTAACTTATCTTGAAGTTGTTTATCGCATTTTGAGGTTTCTCAAGTCAGCTCCAGGATATGGATCTTGTTCTCTAATAATGGTTACTTGAAACTAGAAGCATTTAGTGATGCAGACTTCGCAGGTTTAGTGGATGATAGACGACCATGCAGTCTGTGAGCTTATGTGGCTCCAAACAATACAGGGAGAGCGGAGAATTTATGATGACAGACCTATGAGGCTGTACTGTGACAATAAGACTGCTATCAACATTGCTTATTATCCAATTAAACATGACAATATTTAACATATTGAAATTGACTGACACTCCATTAAAGAAAAGTTAAACAAGGGTTTGATTTGCATGCCTTTTATGAAATCAGAAATTTTTTACAGAAGGGCTTAGTAGCATGGTTTTTCACCCCAATGTTTGCAATTTGGGCACGATGAGGGAGTGTTATAGTGTGTGTTATTTTTAGCTTCTGGTTACTTCAGTACTTTGTGACTATATAAATAAGCTGGGTGTAGTTATGTAACCTAACACAACTCTTCTCATAATTTTCTCCCTTTCCTCTTGTTTCTCCTCTTCTTCTCCAAACCCTAACGCCTTAATAATCTAACTATATCCATTTTATTAATGTTCGTAGTGATTTATCACATGAATAAGAGATAACACATAGGGGTACCAAATCAGTGAACAATTGAATTCAGTTCTAAATTCTTGTTCTTGTGGTATTTCATTCCCTCATACTCAAGCCTGGGGTATTGGGAATGGCCTGATTAAGTAGAACCTGCTGATTCTTCAATGATCAGGCCAACTGCCCCAAGTCTAGTAGACTGGTGAACTGCCAGTCGCCTTAGGGCATTTGACTGGAAGGGTTCAAGTTGGCTGCAGCCTGCTGAGACAGCTCCTCCTTTTGCCAGCTACTGTTTTTAACTCAATTTAATTATGACTCAGTTTATAACAGTGCATTTGCATTGTGTGTGCTATCAACATACCAATAACAATATATCAAGTAGAAATTCAATAAAATGAGTGAGGCTTGTGAATTTCATTCAAACAACAAGTCTTACACATATGCATACATTATCAGTACCATACATAAATTGCATGATAGAATTAACGATATATAACAAAGCTCATGAACACATGATATACAGTGGTCTGGTTGCATCCAATGGAATCTATATCCACTCTTGCCACGCCCTGTCGGGATATTCCACCATAAAGGGGTTATCCAAGTTAAACCCAAACAAACATGAGGATTATAGCAAGCCCTATCTTCTACCCTGCCCTAGTAAGTCGTTGCAAGGCCTTTGCTAAGGATTTGATAAAGGTTTTAAGTTAACCTATACCTCGCCATCTCAATCTCAACACATGCCATAAGCTTACAATAGGACTTTGAAACTCCCCATGGACACGGAGTTATATCTACTCATACTAAGAAAGCAAAGCTTAATCTATTAATTGTCCAATAGTTTGAAACTTGTATTTTCTTCTCTCCAATTGTTTTCTTGTTCGACAAATGCACCAACTTGAAGTATAAATCAAGAAACTCTAACAGTAGGACCAACAATCTCTTACTTTTGCAATTTCACTACAAAACCCAAAATACTTGGATTTTGTCTCACCAAGTTTATAGCAATCCTCCCTATATGGTGTCTCAAAGTTAGCAAGGTACAAGACGATGCATGATTGACTTACTCTAACACTAGAATTCTTCGAGCTGTGAGGTTGCTCCTCCTTAATCCAAGCTTTGTCAGTTGATGGTTTTGTTTGAGAAAGACTACCACAGATCTTCCTTATTCTGCATATCGGCAAACAAGCAAAGCACAAAAAATAACAAGGAATACTTCTCTCCTTTTTATCAGAAATTGTTAATATGAAATGGTACCAGTCTCCAGTCCGGTATCAAGAAAGAATCATTTGGAGAAAAACATATCTCTCCAAATGTTCAATATAATCATGCATATTTTATTTCATGATATATAAGATATGGAATTGGTTGAGTCCAGGAAATTCAACATGGAATCCAGGACTATCCTGTATTGGAGGTCACGTGAACAATGATGGTATATGTGCTATACGTGTGACATGCTCAACAGCAACATTAAAAAAAAGGGGTGCAAATAGCTCCATTAGCTTGCTATGTGTCATGGGGTTAAACAAGGGACACTTGTGGTGATGCCACTTGGGGTGATATGATATGAAGTAGAAGTTCAAGTGCCTTTTTACCGTTCAAGGTCAACTGATGTGGTGGTTTGATACTATAAGGCATCCATAATATCATCAAGCTGGGCGTGAACTAGTGTACCAGGATAATGATAAATGATTAAGATCCAAATGCCCATTTATCACACAATACAAGGATCTAAGCATAAAATATAGAAAATATCAAACCAAACAACTGAAATCCAGAAGAAATACTGCTAGGTATGTCAAACATCAAACATATGCTTTGATTGGTAGAAGTAGCAACATTCATCGTAAATCTGACTTTTCAGCTCTAAGAAAGCCAGACTCTAATGATCACTAGTCCTAATTAATCATAGGTATTACTGCCTATGAGTTAGGATTCTTCAACTTGATGTAGTTTGCCTTCACATTGCTATCCAGACTGATTGAAGCTCTATTAATCCTCCAATACTTTGAAACTTGCACCTGCATCATCTTGATAATGTCCTCTGTAATTCGCAAGAGCATTCCTAATCTTTGTTCGTGTCTCCTTTTAGCTCCTTCAATGCGCCTTCACTTTGCTGTGGAATGCCTGCTATTCAGTACAAATGAGAACCAACTCCTATATTGCATAAGGTGGCTGCTCTCCCTGAGGGTCAGCAAGATCTGTTTCCATCTGTCCCATTTCTCTCTCCAATAGCCTCATCTTCTATCCCGGTTGTTCCTTCTTTGCCTGCTTGCTCAGTTTGCGACTTTGATGCCATGCAGACCCATCAAGTGAAGTCCCCTGGTGTAACTTGGTGTTCCTTGAGGATAGGAACATGTGCTAGATCCATCAACCATGTGATGAACAAGCCATAGGGAAGGATAAGTCATGGTCTCTTCCATCTTATGCAGAGAGACTAACCTATATTCCCAAAACTAATCTCAGTGTGATCCAGTGACCACAACTTGCACAATACAATGCATTTTGTTGAGAACAAACTCATTCACACTGTTATATGATACATTGTGAGGAAAAAGATACAAGATGATCAGGTACAAAACCCTGAAGTTTGGGAGCATCTCAATTCTCTCGACTGTGTTAACCTAGTCTACGTTCTTGTCACACAGCAATCCAAACACTCTTTTCAGGGGTTCTACAGTTTTAAAAAATAAAATATGTTGACAACCTTGTCTAGTGATACCATAAAGTTCCTTGCATCGCCATTGTATCAAATTCTTGGGGATCGTATGCTGGGAAAAGGGTGGCTTAATGGGTGAGATTAGGGAAAAAATAGTATAGGTGCATATAACCCATGTTTGGTTCATTTTAAAGCAAGGCAATTAAATAACTGGGCTTTTTCCAGCCCAATTTAAATAGTGGATTTAACTCTCGTATACAGGTTTATATAAACCCACCTGGGGGTGGTATTAAACTATGTGAGATTGTGATTATAATTAAAATTACCTTATGTGCTCTTGCATCAAATCAAACACTTCGTTAGACATAGAGCAATATTGTCAAAAACACTTCCATAATTTCAAAAAGTTGCAGCTGATTTGATGTCACATTGCAAGATCCATCCAAATCTATCTTAAAAATCCAATTAGATGGGTTTGCATTGGTTTAACTATACCAATCCAATCCTAAATAGTGAAGCTTGCCAAACAGCCCCTTGGGACCAACGTAAGTGGATTGACATTGAAGACAGATACTCTCTTGATTGACTGCCCCCTCAAGTCCTGATAAACCGATAGTTCTAGCTTTGTTCTCGCAAGGACTAAACCCTAGCAGTTCCATTATGCTCATATCTACTGTTCTCATGGAAGTCCTTTGTGCACCCAGGATCGATGAAAGAGGAATCATCTACGACTAACTAAGAAGCATGGACACGGACACGATACGATACGGACACGCGGATACGTTATTTCTCAAAAAAGTAGGACAAGGACACGTTGAATAAATATATGTATTTAATTTTTATATGACTAGTAGTTCATAAATTTGACCCAATACACATTTTTATACATATTTTTGGCCCAAGTAAATGGATAAATCTGGCCCAAATGTAGTCTAATTTTAATTCACCCATTAATTTTATTGGACCAAAAAAAGACCCTTAAAGCAGATCAATTATTAAATTAGTCCATCTAATGGAATGTACAAGTTTTAAATTCTCATTTAATCTGGGCCACATTTGATCTTTTCAAGTTGATAAGGAGATAAGACTAAAATTTGAGAAACCAATAATGACATGCCACATAGCAATGACTTGATTTAAGCAACACAATAATCTAGAAGAAAAAAAGAATATCTACCACTTTCCCCAAAAAAAAAAAAGAAAAAGAAAAAATAGATCTGCCTCCCCCCACCCACCTCTTTCTCTCTCAAACATTGACATATCTGCAACATCTCTCTTTTCTTTTCTCTTCTCTGTAATCTCCCTCTCTTTTCTCTATAAAGATGGCCGTCGATCGCTGGAGTTGGCTGCTGATCGATGGACACCTTTGTGTTCTATGGCTCGAGCTTTGTCTTTCTCGTCAGCATCTTTATTATCGTTGCTGTCCGTCTTCATTGACTCCAGCTGCTGTGAACAACCGAAAATTGGTAAGTTAGAGAAAACGTATCTGGACCGTGTTCGATTATAAAAAAAATAAAAAAAAATTCGGACACTGTTTTTTGCGTAGCTGACAAGTGTCCGAGCGTGTCCGTGTCCCAGACGTGTCGGACAAATAACGTGTCGTGCTTCACAGACAACTAACACCATGGTGTAGAGAAAAAATTATGAAGAGAGAAAAAGTATCTACAAACCCAAACATTGCGTGAGCAATTTAATGATCTTGAATTAGTCTTACTAATATTTTTGGATGGCTCTTTTACTATGTTAGGGTTTTGGGGTTGGCAGATGAAGCTAGCGTGTTTTGAAATGAATAAACCAATTTTAAAGGCCAAGCGCTCGGGAATACTATCTTGTCGAAACTAGTTCACTTTAAAAGAATAAATCAAATTTAGAGGCTATTTAAAGGCCTCAGTCTCTAACAAAAGGTAACATCCATGCTAACATATATTTCTAAGACTATGTACGGTAACACTTGTATCCTTTTTGAGTGGTAAAATAACCAACAAAACCGCACTACAAATCATTAGAATTATGTTTTTCCTTGAATGATCTATAATCATGTACGGAACAAACACACCAAAAAACTTTAAAGGAGGGAAGAAATAGGAGGCGAAAAATCTTAGAAAGACACTTAATAGTTGACTTAAATTAAAGAACACTTGAAGGTAGACGATTAATAAAATAAGGAGCATTAAGAACTGTATCGCCCCAAAAATGCCGAGGAACATTCATAGCACAATCAATGAATGAGTAACCTTAAAAGGATGATGGTTTTTTTTGTGGGCAACACTATTTTGTTCTAGGGTACTCACACAAGTGGTTTGATAAAGAATGCCTCTCATTGAGGTAAGAATAAAGCAACACTATTTTGTTCTAGGGTATTCATACAAGTGGTTTGATAAAGAATGCCTCTCATAAAGGTAAGAATAATTTTTTCTATTAATATACTTGGTTCCACTATCACTTCGAAGAATTTTGATTTTCACATCAAATTGCGTACCTACCCTTTTATGAAAGGATCATAAGCAAAAGAAAACTTCACTTTTAATGCGTACTAAGTAATCCAAAGTAAGACGAGAATAACAATACAAACCAACAAAAACCTAAAAGAGGCAACACGGGAAAGTTCCCACACATCAGAGTGAATAATGACAAAATGAGTTGTATTTTTATTATGAGTACTAGGATAAGATGAACGCTTGTGCTTTGTAAATTCACAAGCATCATAGACAAAAAAAATTGTCTATTATGTATGTCAATGATGTAAGAGGTGAAGGGTCAAAACACCATTTAGCTGGAGGGCTTGACTAGGAGAAGCTTCCACATATAGAAAATATTGACCACCGTGTGCTCTACTACTGCAAATCGTTTTCTTAGACTCCAGTTCCTAAAAGATATAGTGGGTTGGTAAAAATGCCATTAAACAATTTATGGGGTTTGTAATCCTACTAATTGATAATAAATTAGTAGATAAATTAGATACATTAAGGACTGAGGAGAGGAATAAGGCACTNATTGTCTATTATGTATGTCAATGATGTAAGAGGTGAAGGGTCAAAACACCATTTAGCTGGAGGGCTTGACTAGGAGAAGCTTCCACATATAGAAAATATTGACCACCGTGTGCTCTACTACTGCAAATCGTTTTCTTAGACTCCAGTTCCTAAAAGATATAGTGGGTTGGTAAAAATGCCATTGAACAATTTATGGGGTTTGTAATCCTACTAATTGATAATAAATTAGTAGATAAATTAGAGACATTAAGGGCTGAGGAGAGGAATAAGGCACGAGAACAATTAATTAAACTTTTTTCAGATATAGAGGATAAAGATTTATCTGCTACCTTAACTTTATCCCTACCAAAACATGTAAGCCTAAAGAAAAAAGACTAAAGGAACCTGTCATATTGTCTGTGGTTGCAAAATCTATTATTCAAGGGTTATGTGCAGATGAAACATTAAGCAAACTTATAGATATACTTGTATGAGCAAAGATGGAAGAAGAAGTAGGATTAGTAAGTGTAGCATTGGAAACGTCAAGCCAAGCCAACAAATGCCCAAGAGTTTGCATCCCATTATGGGAGAAAATGGAGGCGGTAGTACCACTAGACTAAGTTGGAGTCTCTGAAGATTCAGTCGCATGTGCATGAGATCGCACATTACCACCACGACCTCTTACTTTGGTCGCCACCTTGCCGATGTATAGAACATCTAGTCAACTTCCAACAAAACTCCCTAGTATGTCTGGTCTTCTCACAATAATCACAATTTAAGGTTTCCGCGGCAGCAGTGCAACTCGACTCGGTAGANTAGTATGTCTGGTCTTCTCACAATAATCACAATTTAAGGTTTCCGCGGCAGCAGTGCAACTCGACTTTGCTATGAAATAAGGGAAAATCAAGCTGAGCAATAACAACTAATGCAAAGTGTTCATGAGTAGGTTCGTGTACTACAGCAATCCTACTTTTCTCTTCCTGGTGACCATGTGTATAGGCCTCTTGTAGGGAAGAAAATAGACTATTACCTAGAATTTTAGCCCAAATCTGTGCATACTCAAGCTTAAGGCCAGTAAGAAAGTCATACACGCGTTTTTTCTGCATCATTTGTCAAAATTTTGCAGCATCATTTGCACAATCTTTGTCCAGAAACTTTGACAGTAATCAAGCTCCTGCCACATGATAGGCAACTCTGCATAACAGACTACAATGGTCTTATCTTCTGATTGGACTCCCTAACATTTTTTCGAGGATCTTAAGTCTTAACATCATTTACCCCTCTTGCGAACATGTACGTAGAAATGTGTGATTTTGTTCATAAAATATCTGTTGGACAGTTGCACCTAGTTAATTAAGTTTACTTTGTTGAAATCAGTTGCTGCTGCTGTACTTGCTACATGCTTCTCTTCCCTTTCTTATCCTTTTTTGTTGGGCCCCTACTGCCCATCCTCCCGCTGTTCTGGGGGATGGTATTGGACTCGGGGGGGTTACAAAATGAACTTCAGATAAAAATCTTTGAACAAGATTTGTAGTTTGTTTCATCATGCCATATTTTTTTGCTGTACCTCACTTCGAATGTGCTTTATAATGGACTACTAATGTCTAGCTAAGTGAAATGCATTGCTAATTTTGCAGGACTGTCCAAACTCAAGGCCCTGTTACTTCCTTTGGAGGAAATCCTTTTGCATAGGATTCTAGTTATGTATTTACTTTACTACTTAGTCCTAGAAACGTTTCTATTTATTGCAAAATGGATTGTCTGA